AATCATGTGTGTTACATCATGTTTGAACTTACTTTTACATATCTTATCATGTGAAGTTATATGATATATTATATATATAAAAATCATGAGTTAAAACGTATAATTAGTTTTTTATAGTTATTTTTTGTAATTTGATGCATTGTTTATGTGTTTTTTGAGCATTTCAATAGAAAAAAAAAACAAGTTGGTATATGTAATGTCATGATTTCGCTACGCATATTCAATGACATGGTCACAACCTCGGTGTCTCCTCTTAGACCATAAGTTTTTTTTTTTTTTTATTGTTTAACATTATTTTACACAAATTTCCATTTATTCGTCATATTTTCACTGTTCCATAAGTATATCAGGTAATTGATTCGTTTTTTAACGTATTGGAATTATATATAATTTAATGTTTGTTTTACTAAAAATACTTTTGTTGGTAAAATTTGTTAAACACTAGTAATATCTGCTATGATGGACAACCAGATAAGAGAGGCGTGAGAAAATAGAGGGGATGATATACTTTTTCGGTGGGATGGGGAACATTTGGAGAGGTTTGCGTATAAGCCAAACCCCTACAAACTACGTCTTCTAACTATTAGCTGAACACTAATAATATTTATTGTTTAGTATTTAAGTTTCAGCTATAATTGAACTGCAATTATTAAGTCGTTGAATCCATCTCGTTACCAATAAGAAAGGGTGTGACGATAAATATTTTATATTGGAATATATAATACAAATCAATCTTAGCCGTCATCTAGTCTACTAACTGGTTTCCTAATCTAAATCTATGATCATAATGAATGAACTTTATCATCTTCCATATACATCTCAATCATAATTAATAAATCATGATAATTATCCATAAATATTTGTATTGTTTCTTAACATATATAGTTTATTGAAATTAAATGATTTATAAATGAAAAAGGTCCGTTAAAACTCTAATCAAATTAAATAAATTGTATCTAAAAAAAAGTCACCCGAAGATGTTATAAAACGAAAGTATGTCTACATTTAGAATCTAAGATCCAATCATTTTATCAGATCCAAAAATTTAATTAAATATATATAATTTCTGAAAAAAAACAAAAAAAAAATACTAAACCGAAATATTAAAATAAAACTTGTGACATGTGATGCCACCGTATCTAAGTGCCAATGAAAGGACATCCAATTGCCATAATCAGAAATTATTTCTGGGAAAACTAAAACAAGCCCACCTGCTGGCTGCTACTATTTATTTTCAATTAATAAATCGTAACATTATTATTTTGGAATATAAAAATTAAAACATTATCATTAAAATTAATATAAAAACATGTTTATTATATTTTATTTGATGCAAAAAGTAATGTTTATGATAGAAAATGATTCATGGTTTATTTATAAAGCAAATTGTGTGAATATGCATTTGACTTTTATTCAAGACATCATGTTTTAGGAACCTTCGTTGATAAGGGGTGTTTTGAGACTGTTTATTTAAAATAATTTATGTTTTTATATAAAAAATTTATCAATTTGTTATTATTATTTATGATAGTTCAACTTCTTTAAAAACTTTTTATTACCGGTTTGACACCGGTATAAGCTGTTTATCCAAACACTAAAAAATATTTATTATCGGTACCACACCCGAAACAAGTCAATAAGTTGTTTTTATTAGTAATCCCAAACACTTGTAAAATATAACATGTCAGATATCTAGATATATAATAACTAAATTAGAGTTCATTATATTTTTTTATGTAATTTATCCTGATATATACAAATTTGATAAAACAGTAACAATAGGATTGAAGAGGCTCTAATAAATTACCAAATTCATAATGTTATAATGACTCCATAACAAGAGATGATGAGATTTTTGCCTACATTTCTAGTCCTTAAGGTATAAGGGGGCGTTTGGTTCGTCGGAATCCGCCAGAATCTGATGGAATTAGAATGGTCAATTCCGTTGACCAAATTTTATTCCAATGTTTGGTTACCTATGGAATGAAATTGAAGGGTTTTGACAACGCTTAGATTTGAACCCATAAAATAAGATTTTTACTGCATTCCTTCCATGCATTGTTTGGCAAACACACACTACTTAGATAGCTTATTAGGAGTTTTTGTTGAACACTTTTTCTAATTATAACGCTGATTATTGATTATTATTATTATTATTTGTAAATAAATATTAATTATTAATTGAGAAAATTACGTTTTGTGTACTTATGATTTGTTAAAAACTACGGATTTTATCCTTCTCGTTTCAAAATTTTGGTTTTCATCTATATGATTAGCAATTCATTTTTATTTTAGTCAATAACGCCAAGACATTACTTTTAAGCAAGAAGGACTAAACTAGAAATGAATTGTAGACCATAAGGACGAAAAAACAATAAATTTTAGATCATCGAAAAAGTTAATTGATTATAAACCATAAGAACAAAAATTGTAAATTTCAAAACCACAAGAATAAAAATAGAAATTTTTAACAAACCACATGATTAAAACATAATTGCATCTTATTAATAAATATTACCTATTAATTATAGATAAATATAATTATAAATATTCATTTATGGTAATTAAAGTTAATTATTAGTTTAATTATACATTATTAATTAATTTTAATTTCACAATAGATATCATGATAATTATTAATTATTTATACATGTTACTAATTAAATTAATTTTTAATTATTATGTAATATATTTTGATATCTAAAAACAAATATAATTATTTTAAAAATGTCTGTTATATAAAAATTAAAGTTATATTTATTTTATTTCATGAATAATTATAATATATTAAATAATTTTAATTGAATTTTTAATTACATATTTTTTAAATATTAATTAATTAGGATATGTAAGTTTCACCAATTTTATTGTAACTCATATTATTTGTAATGATTATCTAAAATCATAAATTAATATAATTTTTTTCCTAATATTTATTTTAACAAACTCAAAATTTATAGTAGTGTATATATATATATATATATATATATAGAGAGAGAGAGAGAGAGAGAGAGAGGTTGGTTATTATACAACCCTTGATATTTGTGCAACTAATACAACTCAATCTCAACCGTCTATTTCATTTGATTAATATATGATTTCATAGAAGTTTTGATTGTTTCATTTTATAAAATATTGATCATAATTAATGAACCATATTCATCTTCCATAAATATTCAAATCATAATAAATGAACTATCATCATTTCCATAAATATCTCAATTTATTTGATTGCATTGGTTGTACAAATACGACGGGTTGTATTTGAAACAAACTATATATATATATATATATATATATTACTATTTTGTTTGTATTAATTAATATAATATTTTAATTATGTCTATACTATATTATAAAACATTTAGCAAAAACTTTTAAAAACCATTTTTATGCATAAAGTACTGTTTATTGATGCATATTACTTAAAATTCAAGATTATAAGTAAATTGTGCATAAGTACAACTTATTAAAGCTTCATGTTTAAATTCGTGTAACTAACTGCAGATAAACATAATCAAATAAAGAATAAATATCTCATTTTATATATTAAAAAGTTTAAAATATAATTAAGATAATCATTGATATCTAACAAACTACTTAATTATTATTTTTATAAAAAATTATATTATTAAACCAAAAATTAAAAACAAAAGAGTTAAAGAAATACACAAAAAATGAGAAATTTTAAATAATTAATTTGATATTAATATCAATAACTTTTTTTTTATTTTTTATAATATATCTTCATATTTATATTTTATTAAATAATAAAAATATTATCGTTTTTTCAAAATCATATAAAGTTGTATTATAACATCAATTAAGACAAAAAAAATGAAATATTAAAATTGAGATGTATCTCGTTGCATTGCACGAGTACCCTTCTAGTTATTAAAAATGTATTTGAATTATATTATAAAATAGTTATAATTGATCTTGTTCAAGATTTTCTCTTTTTGACTATTTACATACATATTTATAACCTAGTTTTTATGGATCATAATTATTCATGTATGATTTCCATTAAATAAAAAATCAAGTTTCATGGGAGAATTAAACCGTTGTAAGCTTTCTAGTCCCTACTGATTTGAATTGAGGGATTGGGGAAAAAATCACAACTTTAGTGGCCCATGAGAAAAAAGAAAAAGAAAACTGCCTATAAATCCTGAATCATTCTCCCATCCCATGTAGTAGTCTCCCTCACTCTCTGTACCTCCCTCTCCCTCTCGGAGCATCTCTGTAAGTAAATCCCTTCTGGTTTCTGTAGATTCGTCATTGCGCCGCTGTAACTGCTAAATGCTTGACCTCAAAAATGTGTTTATGGTGTTTTGTTTCTTGACCTTTAGCCTTAATTTTCTTCATCTTCATGGCTACTATGTTGTGACTTCTGTGTTTGTGTCTTCTTTTTTCTTCAATACTTCATATCATCTAAAACCCATTTCAAGATCTCAACAAAGTTTTCAACTTTATTGTTGATTCCTTCCAAAAAGTTGTTAAACGTCAGATTTTTTATATAAAATCTGATATCTCATTTGTATATGTTTAATCCCGTCTTGAAAATGTGCAATGTTTCCAGACAGACGGGTATTTGTATTTTTGGTATATCACATTACATGTATTCTTGATTGTAACCGTTGCTGATTTTGCTGTCTTGATTTTAAAGCCTTTCAGGTTCAAGCTTTACCTTTATTCTTCTTCTTTTTGGTCTTTTAGCTCAAAATTTGTTTTTACTGTAAACCCCCTTCTACAGATTAATACCGTTTTCATCTTATTTAATTATTACCAACACAGTTTGTGTTCAATTTGAAGTTTAAAACTAGCTTCTTTGACTCTGGTCAAAAATCTGATCCAATTTTTGCACTTGCTTTAAATTCCAGTCATTGTAAGTATTATATCTTTACCTAACTATTTGTCTTCTCTAACCTACTCAATATTCTGTGCATTGTAGAAAAATTGTCACTGGAACTTCTCTAAGGAAGAGCATACTCCCATTTGCAATGGGGGCTAAGAACATGGGGAAATTTTCAGTTTTCTTGATTGTGGTCTTGTGTTGCTGGCCTTCCATGGCTGAAGCAGAGTACTTCAAATACAAAGATCCAAAACAACCGGTGGGTGTTAGGATCAAAGATTTGATGAAAAGGATGACAGTAGAGGAAAAGGTTGGCCAAATGACTCAAATTGATCGAACAGTTGCATCCAATGAGGTCATGAAGAAGTACTTAATTGGTACAAGATTCAATCCATTTCTTTTTATTCTTGTGATCTTTTGTAGTCAATCATTCTTTCTTGTTTTAGATCTTCCTTGAACTACTTGTGTTTTCAGGGAGCATTTTGAGTGGAGGAGGGAGTGTTCCTGCTAAACACGCATCCCCGAAAACATGGGTTGATATGGTCAATGATTTCCAGAAGGGTTCGTTATCCACCCGATTGGGTATCCCCATGATTTATGGGATTGATGCTGTCCATGGCCATAACAATGTTTACAAAGCTACAATCTTTCCTCATAATGTTGGACTTGGAGTCACCAGGCAAGTTCTAAAACCACCTCATTTTATGTTTTAGGCTTTTCAAGAACCAAAATTGGCAAATCTTGATCAATGTACAACTTGCGCTGCTTACTGTATAAGCCATTATATGCATTGGGTGGTTGTACTGTACAAGTATGTATATCATTTTGGACATAAAGATTGTAGATAGATCTTGGAATTAAACTGTTAACCCCATATGACACCCCGTCTGCAACAAGTATGGTACAGCACTGACCCATGATGAAATAGCACAGCATGTTGAAATGTGTGCTGGCTGGCTGGCTGGCTGGCTGTTATAGATGATATTTTTATAACTGGATTATATGCCAAAATCTGAACAGGGACCCTGTTTTGGTCAAAAAGATTGGAGCTGCAACTGCACTTGAAGTTAGAGCCACTGGCATACAATATGCTTTTGCACCTTGTATTGCAGTAAGTAAAAAAAGAAATCAATGCATAATTTTACTGCCATCAGCAAACAGATGCAATCTTTTTCTGATAATTATACTTGTTGCTAAACAGGTGTGTAGAGATCCGAGATGGGGTCGCTGCTTTGAGAGTTATAGTGAAGATCCGAAGATTGTTAAACTAATGACGGAGATTATCCCAGGTTTACAAGGAGACATCCCTGCTGGTTCCAGAAAGGGTGTTCCTTTTGTTGGTGGACAGTAAGTCTTCATTCACCTTCCTAATCTTGAACCCCTTAATAGGAATGTTACCATACCCAGTAACAATTTCTGGTTCAAACAAGGTTCTATGCCTTCAGATTGTTTTGGGTGTTCTAAAATTTCATTTGGATTTATGTGATTCTGGTTCCTTTTTGGTTGATAAGATGAGAAATGAAAAAGACATCATGGAAATGGTACAAGTGAATTGAACCTCATAATGATGACAGATGACCCACAAGTGTGAAAGATAGACATGGGAGCAACATTATGGTCACATAAAATGGCACCGACTTTTTGGTGTTTATTTGATATTTCATCCATTCTAAAAAAAATATGCAAACGCTGTTTATTTGGAGAACTGGCAGTTATCATTAATGGGGTTGGTTCAAACAAGAAGACTAAATATCGTGAAAAGGTAACAAGGGAAGGTTCATACATGAATTATAGAAAAATCTATATGAGGATGGATATGTGAACTCATATGAAAAATCTATAAAGTTGGTTCACATATGCATCTTCAAAATAGATTTTTTCTCCATTTTTTCAATGATTCACATATGAATATTCCTTCTTAACTTCTCACGAAGTCAAATCTTTTTATTTAAGCCTTCAACTTCGATGTTTGCGGTTGTTTTAGGTATTTGATCATTAGTTACAAAAGAATTTCAGGGATGGTGGGAATTTTATCTTATCAATGATGGATAATAAGTATAAAACATTGTTTAGTCAACTATCCATATATCAAGGGATTTTCTAGATCTTTTATGGCATGGTCCATGTGCTCCACTTGCTAAAATCTTGATAACTAAAATTAGAAGTGAAGCAAAGTAGAAGATTTATACGGAACAGACAAACTGTCTGTTTTCAATCAGTTTTTGGCCATGAGGTCATTGCTTACTTATGGCTGATCTAAGAAGGATTTCAAAAACCAACTTTTGTCTAAGGTTTTAGACAGCCAGGTGGAAAACTCTGCCGGAATCCGGCAGGAGGGATCTTCATATTGGATCTCTAATTGGGCATACCGCATGTTGATTTCTTTTTTGCAGAAATAAGATAGCAGCATGTGCTAAGCATTATTTGGGAGATGGCGGGACTCACCTGGGCACGAATGAGGGCAACACGATCACAGATGACAAAGGATTATTCAGAATACACATGCCAGCATACTATGATTCGGTCATCAAGGGTGTGGCTACTATTATGACCTCGTATTCCAGCTGGAATGGGGTCAAAATGCACTCCAACCGTTATCTTGTCACGGATTTCCTCAAGAATAGGCTCAAGTTCAAGGTAAAATTCCACATCTCCATCTACATCGATTATCGATGCACAAAACTAGCAACTTATGAATTTTTTGGTTCACTTTGACTTCAGGGGTTCGTTATATCAGATTGGCAAGGGATCGACAGGATCACGGAACCTGCACATGCTAATTATACATACTCGATCGTAACTGGGATGAATGCTGGCATTGATATGGTTCGTTTGGTTTTTCTTTTCTCGATTCTAATATCCAAAAAAATATAAACTTTATGAGAATCTAACGTGTTGGCTGTTTGCAGTTCATGATTCCATACAACTACACAGAGTTCATCGATGGTCTAACTTATCTAGTCAAGAACAACTTCATATCCATGAGTCGTGTAGATGACGCGGTTAAGAGGATTCTAAGGGTCAAGTTCGTTATGGGTCTGTTTGAAAATCCTTTGGCTGATTACAGCATGGCTAAGCACCTTGGAAGCCAGGTAACCCGAGTCTAACTTTTCCGATACGACCAGAATTCTAGAACCCTAAGTACCGAAGATAATCTTGATTTACTTTACGAACTGAAACAGGAGCACCGAAATCTGGCCAGGGAAGCTGTAAGGAAAACGCTTGTCTTACTGAAAAATGGCAAATCTTCGAAGAAACCATTGTTACCGCTTCCTAAAAAGGCATCGAAGGTACTTGTTGCAGGTTCCCATGCCGATAACCTTGGCTATCAATGTGGTGGATGGACACTCGAGTGGCAAGGGCTTTCGGGAGATATTACTGATGGTAAAATTACAATCTAGAAACACTCGAATGGCTTAAATCGTTAATCTTTTGAAATCTTGAACTAACCCTTTTGATCTTGCAGGCACCACGATTCTATCGGCTGTGAAAAGCGCTGTTGATCGAACAACTCAAGTGGTCTTCAATGAGAACCCGGATGCCGAGTTTGTGAAATCTAACAAATTCGACTACGCGATTGTGGTGGTTGGAGAGCACCCATATGCCGAGACTTTTGGAGACAGCATGAACCTGACAATCCCTGAGCCTGGGCCGAGCACCATCAAGAACGTCTGTGGCTCAGTGAAATGTGTGGTGGTCTTGATCTCTGGCCGGCCTGTGGTGGTGCAGCCATATGTCGAAACCATAGACGCCCTGGTTGCAGCTTGGCTACCTGGAACCGAGGGCCAAGGTGTGACCGATGCCCTGTTTGGTGACTATGGTTTTACGGGCAAGCTTGCACGAACTTGGTTCAAGTCTGTTGATCAGCTACCGATGAACGTTGGAGACCCGCATTATGACCCATTATACCCGTTTGGGTATGGGCTCACGACTGAAGCTAGGAAGAATTTGTGAAGCTAATTAACGAGTGTCTGAATGATTTTGTTTTCTTGGAGTTGGATCTTGTAGCAGAGGCACATTCAAATATTCAGCAACGAATCTTGTCTTAATGTTATATGAATAAAGCAATTGTGATCTGCATATTTCCATTGTTGAGAAACTTTTCGAGTTTAATTTCTACCGAAAAGCCCAGAAAAATCTATCAAATCTGTTGGCATCTAATTACATACAAAATTTAATGTCACGGATAAATTACGATGTTTGACTAGAAAAGTAATTATAATCGTCTTAATTTAAGATTAAGTACTAATTAATATTAATTAGAAGAGTAATCAACCATCCATTGTCGTCCAGCGGTTAGGATATCTGGCTTTCACCCAGGAGACCCGGGTTCGATTCCCGGCAATGGAATTTTTTTTGTATTACCAATTTATCCATCTATTTAATTTTACATTTTATTATTATTAAATAATATTTAAAAGATATTTTATTTATCTTACTTACCTTTATACATGGTTGTATTAGAGCAAACTTGTGATGTCTTTTTACCAATCGAGCTACGTTGAAAGCTTCGTATTTTTTTTACATATTTCAAGAATGATGATTTATTTGTGCACGAACACCATTAAAGGAAGTCAATTACTAGTTGAATAAATGAATCCTAATTAGCATGGAAACTCTCGGCAACCTTTGTCTCGACCTTCAATTCTATGGAATTGGCACTATTTTTTTCCGTTTCCGATCCCAACTTCCGGGCTTCTTTCGAGCTCGTGTTCTTCTTTTCTAAATATCGAACAAAAGCCTCGTAACTCTCAGATCCTCTCTGTATCAGAAGGGTAAAAAATTGGATCAATTCTAATTGAAGGGTTTCACTATATTAACACTAATGAGAAGTATCGGATCAATTTATTTCCAAAGTGTAATTCACTGATTGGTTTGAGATTAGAAGTGATCAAGAGTCCAAATTTTTTCTTAAACTTTTCACCTTAACTCTTATTCTTACATCATCATTTTTCTAAGTGAACTTTATGTTCTTAAAACATGGATCCCAGACGTTTTGAAGGCGAACCTCCGATTGACATTTTACTCTCCTCAACCACCACCACTTGTCTAGTTGTATTTACCGGGGGAGGTTGTCCACCTCCTTTTTCTGTCACCTCCAGCAACCTTCCGCCACCGTTGTCAAATTTAGGCGGCAGTTCAAACCTACCATGATGTTAAAACCTTACACGAAGTAGTTTTTATGTGTTGTTTTATATATTAATTACGTAAATGAAAAATGCAATATTCATACAATGTTTCATATATGAAACTTTCGAGATTGTTATATGTGTGGGAAAAAAAAACCATCAATGTATGTTTCACACAGAAATACATACAAAAACAAAATACAATAACACAACATGTGAACACAATATAAATCATTCATTGTACGATTTGGGGTTTATGCGCGTTTATAACAATTATTGGGTCTGTAACGAATGTGCATTGCTTGTTTATATAGTAACTTGATTATTTATACAGTAATTAATTATAAAAATAATTAAATTATCTTATATTAACGATTCAACGGTTGCATTTAAATCAAAATACCAACCGTTCTTGTAAGATTTTTTTATCCAATGTTTGTGCGAAATTAAAATGGAATTCAAATGCATAAATCCCTTCAAATACTACCAAATCTCGCAAATCAAACAAACCATATAGGTATCTTTATAAACTCAATGTCAGCATTTAACACTTACTTATATTTAAATTCGATGACGTCTTTGTATATTTAAAATTTTAGAATATAACTGAAATTACATGCATTGATAAATGATAAGTAACTGCAAATCAAAAATGATATCTATGAAAAATTAAATTTTCATCTCAAAAAATTAAACCATAAGCAATTGCACATAACGTCTGGTCATTAAGCTCACCCCAATCTTCCGTATAATCTTGTCATTCTTGTGTGTCGTATCATGTTGAAATTATTGTTACCTTTTTTGTTTCTCTTATGTCAGATATGAGAAACGTATGAGAGTTAAAATCATAATTTAGATATAATGTTAATGATAAATGCAAAACGACCTGTTACATCCAACCAACAATTCTATCAAAATTTAACCAAAATAATGTGACTATATTTTGCAAAAAAGGACATGACAAGCTTCAATCAAGAAATTTTCAGTAATGTAATTAATATAATCATGAAAATAAATAAATGACGATGCTTAGAGTATATAATACGGTAATACCAAATGAATTGTTGAAGTGACATTTCAACGAAAATATATGACATAAAGTTAATTAAAAAAATTGCAGGTTTGATAAATCAAATGAATGAGAAATGATTTGACAATATCACGTATAAATTTTTTGATGTTATATGACATATGTTTATAAAAATATATTCGATTTGTAATTTTTACATAAAATGTATATAATTCATTTAATATTTTATATAATTTTATATTTATTAAAATGTAAGGGGCTGTTTGATAATTTTTGAGTGGTTTGGTGCAGAATGATTAAGTGATCAAAATGATTAAGAGACTCTCATGATATAATGCAACATGAAATATAATTGTTTGGTAATTGTGTACAATGAAATTAGGGGTCTTAATGATTAAGGGAGATCTATGATACAAAATCATTCAGGGGGTTTTAGAACCATTAAGAGGCAAAAAAAATTGTCAAACAAGATTCATCTCTTAACGATTCAACGGTTGCCTCTTAATAGAACTATTAAGAGGTAAACAAACAACCCCTAAATCATCATATTATAGATATTTACCATCAAACCTCTATTTTTTTAATGTTATATGACATATGTTTAATCAATGTTTTTTTTTTGTAACCGCATGTTTTCATGTCACCTTACGTGCACCTATTAATCTTTGGACGACCAGATTCAACTTGTTAGGTTTGTAAACCAATTTATCTTTTTGACCCTTTTCTAACCCGATACGCCTCCTTCCTTTAACCAAAAACTCTCTCATGCGTCTCGTTCTTCAGTTGACGAGTTCATCAATGGACCTTCGACCATTCCACATAAATCGAGCTAGTTCATTCTATAGAGATCGAAATCAACTTCTCCATCCACCATCGAATCAACCTTCTTCTTCACGTAAGCCATATTTCTTGTTGTGACTTTTTTGGCTTCTGTGATGCATTATTTTGTTATTTTTTTATTGATGCCAAATCCAGCCTAAAATATGTTATACTGTGAGCATAAAATACAAGCTGTGATTTTTTAAAGGATACTTAACATTACGTGGTGATCTCTTGTTGTGCTTTTTTTTTGGCCGTTGTGACAATTGAAGTCCTGCAAATATGTTTTCTATATAGAGTTCTCGAAATCAACAAGGAATTTTAGGGTTCCTTTAAAATCTAGTCATTGATCTAAGGCAACACGTATGTTAATTTATATTTATAAATGCTTGATGAATCAAAATCGAAGGCAAACCAAAACTTCATATATGGATATTGATGGTGGTTGCAACAGTATAAGTCAATAATATGGAAGAATGTCATTTTTGGTCATTTTACATATATAAGCAAAAATTGTCAAACACTAAAAGACAACTTATCAGTTTATTACGTTTTGGTACCGTCATAAGTTAATCTAAACACTTTTTATAAAATTCCGAGGTTTTGACATCACATAAGTTGATAAACACTTCTACACCAAAAAATACATAAGTTGTTTTAAATAAGCAATCCCAAGTACCCTTTAATGTCACAGATAAATTAAAACATTTGGTTTAAAATTAATTAATTAATTTCCAGTTAAGTACTAATTAATATTAAATTAAAACAGTCATCAACCATCCATTGTCGTCCAGCGGTTAGGATATCTGGCTTTCACCCAGGAGACCCGGGTTCGATTCCCGGCAATGGAATTCTTTTTGAAATTTTGCTTTTTGTTTTACATTTTCTTTTAAATTATTATATGATATTTAAGCCATTTTACTTGTAATCAAATATTATACACCAACTGTATTTCAACTTTATACACTAATTGTATTATTGGAATTTTTAGGGGACAGATTGTACAAAATAAAGCTGCAGATAACATGAAATAATTGAATAAATAGTAATTGACTTTAAAACCATCGTACTTGACTTTTTGTTGCAAACTAATCATTATTTTTCTAAAAATAAGAATATTGTTTTGGAAGAAAATCTATTTTGTATAAATTCTGAAAAACTAGAATTAAAAAAAAACTGTGTTTTTTTATATTTCTTGTTGAAGACCATTCATTCTTACAAAATGCAGTATCGTTTCTGCATTTTGCAGGAATTCTAATGGTTTGTTTGCAACGAAAAACCAAATACCAATCAGAAGTCGGTTACTAATTGAGTAAATGAATCCTAATTGAACTCCTCCTTAACCATAATTCATACATTACCATGTAAAATGTATCAAAATCCACTGGTTGTTTATGCCACTGAAAGTGATTTTGCACCTTCAACACATTCTTCTGCAACTTGATGTACTCATTGGAATCAACAATCTCTCTCAGTATTTTCTTCAGGAACGCAATATCTTCTGTTGAAACTACGACCGAGAAGCTCCTCCAATCCAAAATATCTGTAAATGGCAGATCGTAGTGGTCCGCCAACACGACTGGGATGCACCCATAGTAGATTGCATCGCCAATACGAGCCGTGTTCACCTCAAACCCTTTTGCGTGGATGCAAAATTTGCTCCCGAGCAGCGACTCTGAGTAAGGCGTTTTTAGTCGGTTTTGATGAACACCGATCTCTGTATCATTCACCCATGTCCGAACCAAAGATTCACGCACCCGTGAGTTCATTGCTCCGGCATAAAATGCAAGCATTTTCCTGACACATCCAAATAAAAGTATAAACATTGATTGTTAGAATCTCACATTGGCTAGACATATGCCATTAAATTAGTATATATGTTGGTACTTCCATGTTCTTTATAATTTATAAGGTTGTTAAGGCATAGATATGAGATTGGACAGTATAGAACTGGACTGATAACATAGAGGTGGGTGGGTGAAAGAATTCAAAAACATTTTAATTTTACATGGGTAATTTAGTAATTTACCAATTTTGGTTTCAGTTTAATGTTGTGCCATACATGCGAAAACAAATTTTTGTATTGTTATGTCTCGCATACCAAACACATCATAGGGGCTCTTTCATAGAGAGATTACCTTTTGGATGGGTCACGACTTGGGCGGACCCCTGGTCGTGGCCATATTTGTGGTATTGATGCATCTTTGTGTGCATTGTAACCCTGCAAGAAGTAACTTGAAGAGCAAACAACTTGAATCGCATTGATCTTGACTTCGGGTGCCTTTTCCATTGCAGTCCGTCCAATAGAATGGCACGCAACATAGAAATGATCGGCCCCACCGGTGCGGTTCCAAAATGGGTATTTGTGACTGATAGTGGAGATATATTCTTTGATGAAGTCTTTGATGCCACCAACTCCAATTCTCTTGTCATGTCTCATACTTGCAATGGAAAATGGCAAGAAAAAGAGGTGTGCTTCATTTGGATCTTGGGTAACAAAGTGACTCATCGAGAGCCCGATTTTGAAGTAGCTTTCGCTTGCATAGTTGCCTCCTGGAGAACGGTTGTTGTCGGGCAAGAGAACGTTGGCAAAGGGATCGGTTTTGGCGTGCGGGTAAACGTATATTTTCAAGCTTTTGTTCATTTGATTGTAATTCTCCAAGAAGTTTTCTTTGTCATGGTACACTTCTTCCTTGTTCAGAGGCTTTTCTAAAAACAAAGAAAGCGGGCAAATGATATCAAATTTAGAAAGAGTTCAATAAATTTGGGCCCAGAAAACATATTAGTATATGGGCCATGTAAAAATCCGATGGCCCGAGTTACCAAACCCGATTATAACTTGATAAGTGATCACCCAACCCAAATTAAATCAAAGCTCAGTTGGGTCGGTTCTTAATCGGTTCTGAATTCTACGAGTCAAGTTGGGGGGAATATATAGATCCAACGAGTCCGACTAAAGTTAATACGTTATAATTACATAGAAGTTCAATCTCCTCTTGGTATAATCGCTTTTGAAAAATTTCAATAAACTTTTTTATTGAATGGTTAAGTTTTTAAAATATTTTTTTAATAAATAACTATTAAATTTTTTTGTTTTAAATAATTAAGTTTTTGAATAGATAAATTATTAAACTTTTAAAAATTGATAACCTATATATTCTTTTAACTAAAACAAATCATATAAAATTATTTAAAAAGGTTTTGAAGTTAAAAAAAAAATTAAAATCAATTTTATCGTTCCTAAACCATATGACATTCAAACCCTTATACCAAACAGCATCGCTCCCTCTCGTTGCCCCATCGTTGTACTTTCTCCATATTGTCCATTACTGTTATTGGTCCTCCGCATTGATCTCCCTCTTTTTGATCTTTTTGTTTTTGTTTTCGATTTGCTTTCTTTGACAACAATTTAACGGAGTACGCATAGATAGATCAAAAACAAGTATAATTGAAAAACAAAAAAAAAACGATCAAAAAAAGGAAATCAATGGTAGTGACCAACGACCGTGATGGTTGAACAGTGATAGAGAAACGATGATAAAGGGGGGACTTATTTTTATTTTTGTAATATATTTTTAATATTTTACTGATAATATATTTTTATTTTTATATCAAACAATGATTCAAATACTATTTTTTAATAGAATTATTAAGAGATAAAAAAATAGAAGTATATGGTAGTAATCTGTTGGCCATCAAAACCAATTCCCATAACTTGTAGAACCTTAGCATGGACTAATCATATCTCCTTCCATTTGCCTCTGTTTGAACATTGACTTTCAATAGTAAATTATGGACCATTTCTACTTCTATCATATTTTAATTTTTCACAATATTGGAATTTTGATTTATTCCAATTTATTATATGCAAATACAGAAAATAAAAATTGGTACTTGATTTATTAATTAATAAATATATGTTTTTTTTAATTTTTTTACTTTAAACCGCTTAATTATAATAATAAATATCAAATATTCAAATATTTTTTGGATAATACCTCGAAAACAAGTGGGCAAAATATGGAATCTTTATTTCGTAATGATTTTATATCCCAAAATTTGGATCCCGTACCTTTTGAGTGCCTAGAACCTCCAGCTGACGTTTGACCGCCCTCAGCCACCACTTCTTGACTAATTCTATTTACCACGGGAGGCTGTCCACCTCCATTTTCCCTCACCTCCGGCGACCTTCCGCCATCGTCGCTGCTAAATTCAGGCGGCAGTCCAAACCCACCAGTATCTTCTATGGAGGGTTGCTGTTGTTCATGCAATACCGGAACAACGTCCTCATACTGGTGATAGGTTGAGATGTGAGCAGGATTAAAGATTTGTTCAGATTGTTGATCATCAAAAAGACGACCATCGTGGTCGTGGGAATGAAGCATCATGACTTTTGAGGTTGAAGGAATAGATGTTATAGAAAAGAAGGTTATTTTCAAAGTAATCAAGGTGCATGATGTCATGAAGAACAAGCCTTTGAATGAACCCTTTATTCTAGCCATGTTTATTTATATCAAAGCTCAAAACTTTCACACACAAACACCAAGAATACACACTGATGCAGACACCAAGAGAGGAGACATATATATATATATATATATATATCCTTGATTTTGAAGCAAATTGAAATGGTTGTTGGCTTTGTGGGAATTATGCTTGTATATATATATATATATATATAAAGCCCACACACAGCAAGAATGGTAGAGAAGATGTGGAGAGGGTATCTAGATTTTATGTGTATGTATCTCTACACACACAAACACCAAGAACACACACTAATTAACAAAAGATATAGCAGCAGCCGAGGTATGGACCATCGGGTGAGTGATCGATTTTGCTAGAAGTAGGGTTACACACTTGAATAATTCACAAACACTATTATTAAATTATACAAGTCAAATAACTTGACGAAAAACGAAGGATATATAATAGACATCGATTTCAATTTCGATCAATTTCTAATAAATAAAATTCTAAATTTGAATAAAAAAAATAAAAAATAAGAATCATATTTATAATCCCTATGGCATGTTTATTGGCTGGAGCTTAATTAGAAGAAACTTGGAAATCAATTCTATTTATTATCAATTAAATGATGGTGAGGATGACAAAGACATAATCATCCATTTTTATATTAATTATATTTTTTTCTGTCTAAAATAGAGTTTGACTTCAACCTCACACATACACCATAAAAAAATTGTATAGTTACGTGTAATGATATTTTTATCAGGTGACGTACATATGATTTTATTCGAGAAACATATGGCATATGATGGGTATGATACGTTCCTTCATTTACAAGACACGTGTTATGGCATACTCATGCATGCTCGAGAGCTTAACATGAACTAATTTACGAGGATGTTGTTGAGTTTATCACATCGTGAGCTAAATATTTGGGACTCGAACATGTACAACGATTATGTATGAATAATTAAACGGTATATGTAATGAATCTTAAATGGTCAAAGTTGGCATGTTTCGTTTTTAGGATTAATTAAACATGATCTTGAATGTATATAATGTTGTGTAGTTTATGAATTTAAAGTTGTTAATTGTTGGGTTATTAAATGTTGGTTTAATATATAATAAAAAAGTTAAGAAATCAAAAGTTATATACTAAAACAAAATAAGTGATACAAGAGTTATTAAAGGAAGAATAAGACCTAAATTAGGGTTAGGGATGAAACCAGTTTAGGCCAAAAAAGTTTAATGTTTGTGTATATTATTATAGATAGGTACTACAAAGGTCATTATTGTGATGGCTATTAAAACATGACATTTATGATTTGAGTGGTTGATGTAATTGTTTATATATGACGTTTCTTATTAAATTATGGATAAAATATGTGAAATAGCAGCCTACTTTTATAGAAAAAATTATTGTAGCATTGTAGTTTTAGTTTTTTATTACAAAATGTGCATTCAATATATTTATTACCTTTCACATTACTTGATAAAAGATATTTTGAATGTACATTATTGTAATAAGAAAAACTGAAAGTACAATACTATAATAAAGAAATTTATAAAAGCATTTTTATGTGTAACAGGTTATCCTATGTGGCTTTCATGTCATTTTAAGTTTGATACGTTAGCAAAGAAAAACTTGTTCAAAAGGTAACATGTTACCCAATCCTATAACGGGTAAAATTTTGAAAGTACGATACCCTAATAAATAATATTTTGAAAGTTTATTGTTGTAATAAGAAAAACTGAAAGTACAATGCTATAATAAGAAAATTTGTAAAAATAGGTTGGTTTTTTCGTGGATTTTACCCTTAAATTATTAGTTAGAATATTTGATATGACCTTTAGAGAATGAAAGTTTTTTCCATAAAATATATTTTTCTAAAAGTGTTGTAATAAGTTTATAGAATACTTTTAGGGTTTTAACAAATTTTTAGAACATTTTTTTAAATAAATTGCATATCAATTATTTTATGTGACACTATTTGAAAATGTGTAATATAAACATAAATGTATATAAAATATGTTTATGGGATTTTTTTGAAAAATAAATGAATACGACATTTTATTTCAAAAAATGTTTTAAAAATTTATTATAAATCATCGTCCTATAAACTTATTGCAATACAATTTAGATAAAAAGTTTTATTATATGGTCTTATAAAACAATATACTAGAACATTTATACATATTTAACGTTCTATAAACCAAAAAAACTTTATTATACTGAATAGAAGTTATTGGAATAATAATTATACATCTTAAATTAATAGTTATGTGTTATAAATAAGACATACTTCAAAATCTCAATAAGTACTATAATAAGACATCTGAAAATCTTAATAATCCCATTTTTATATGTATACACAAGTAGGAATAAAAATCATGTTATGTCAACGGAGGTTCAAATGAGGTGACTCTGGATAATCTGTAAAACAGGTAGTCATTATGAAATTAATCAGCTTGTATAATGAGTTGGATATCTATATTAATAAAAAATAATATGTACACATGTAAGGTAGCTTGTAAACCTGAATTATTTGAATCTAACTTCAGTTTTCCAATACACATGATGAAATTTATCAGCATTTCAAATTAAATATACAAAAAATGTTCCTAAATGTTCAACGCCACACATGCAATTCCTACTTGCTTGAATATTGCGTAATAATTAATTATAACCATTTTTCTCAAAATTATTTATTTTAAATTTTACATTATTTATTTACTTTTAAAACAATGATAATAAATTAAAAAAACATATATTTTGTTAAATATGAAACATATAAGGTATATATAAATATATTATCAGTAAAATATAAAAATAATTTACAAATGTATGATAAAAAATATAAATATTTTTTAAAGTATATATATATATATAATATTTATATACGGTAAATAACACAAATAAACTCACATATCCTCATCATATTTTGTGAGGTTTGAACCTCTGACCTTCTAGAAGGTCAAAGACTCGCATATCGCTAGAGCAATGACCCTTTAGTGAATGTTTTTCGAACATTATGTCTACTTCTTTTTTCTCCTGATTTAAAGGTCATAAACAACAATGTGTATTTGAGAACTATGTGTAACCTCTAATCATTCCATCTATTTCTACTAGTTCATAACATGTTTAAACAAACTTTTTTGTACCAATTGGTAGTATATGTACTCAAAATAACATTTGTCCGTAAACTTAGGTTACATGATTTCAACAACTTATTGTAATTTTAGATTAATTCGTCCTTATTTTATTCATACGTCTACACTTTCTTCGATTATTACCCAAAAACTCGATCACGTATTCTACTAAAACGATTAATTGTGCATTTGTTCACATCGATTATGATGGCCATTTTGTCATCTCCTAATATTATTGTTATTATGTTTAATTATAGGTTAAGAATCTTATGTCGTTATATATATATTATATATATATATATATATATATATATGGTTGGGTTCACGTGAGACTAAAGGTTTTTCATGAGACCAATTTAAAGTTAAAAATGTAATAACACAAAAGATAAAAAATAATAATAATTTTTTTAGAAAAAATGCATGTCTTGTAAAAAAAACGTGCGCCATGGCATGCCTTAAGACGTCATGGTGTGAGTCACGCCTTATAGAAATGCTATGACATTTTTGTAATTGCAGAGACGCATCTTGTGTCATATTTTGTCATGACATGCCTTTTTCAACACTGGTGTATACGTAAGTAGGTGGAGGTTCAAACGAAAAACACATTCAGTTTATGATCACACTCTTTTACCATAGGAAATTACATGTGATAATAGTCTAGTGGTGTACGGGCGACTTGGCCTCCGACCTAAGATCGCCAACATCTGATTMATTACCACACGTGTATCATATACGATGTACTATAATATCAACGTGGTTCAATATATTAAAATGATATTATCGCATTTTTGTAAAACGAAAACTTTTTCATTTGAACCAATCCCTACGTAATATAAATATATGTATATATATATATACATATATATATGGTATATTTCAAATGCAACCATGTTCATTTGCATAACAAATACAACTCAATCAATTTAGATATTTAAGGAAATGATGAAAATTCATTTGTTATGATTTAAATATTTAAGGAAAATGACTAGAAATCATTAATTATGATCAATACTTTATATTAGAACACAGTCAAAACTTTTATGAAACCACGTATTTATCAAATTTAATGGACGATTGAGATTGAATTGTATTAGTTGTACAAATGTAAATGATTAGATAATAATTCACCTATATATATATATATATATATATATATATAAAGAGTTCACAAATTTCCTAAAATAATTTAACCAAAGAATATGTATTTATTTATATGAAAATTACTTTTAAAAGCTATTGTGTATTTATTGTTTTTAAAATAATTAAACAAACGGTAACAATTGTTGAAATAAATTATTTCTTATAATAAAAGAAAATAGTGGTAGGCTAGATACCCCAAGTCATAGCAGCCCCCCCCCCCCCCCCAAAAAAAAAAAAAAAGCTTAATACCCATTTATAAAAATATTAATTCCCCATAAATACTTGTCAAATTATTGCCACGTTTTTTTAGCTTTAACTTATCTGCCCAATTGTTATGTAATATCCACATGCACAAAATTGCAAATATTTGGAAAATAATTAAATAAAAAAATAAATGGATGGTTTAAATCATTTAAACAATTTAATTTAATTATAACGGTTTAAAAAAATCTCATTTCAATCTTTTATAGAGTGTAACTCGACTCAAGTGTTACATATTCGATTGAGTTGGAATTGGGTTACCAGATGACTTACAAATGTTGTTTATCACTATATTTAATCTTATAGGTATAACAAATGTATATGTAATATTGAATATTGATTCAGACGTATATTATAACAGACAGACATGTTGTGCTTGCAAAAAGATGAAAATATGTTTCTATACCAAAATTCATGTTTGTTGTCTTCATCCAACCGAGAGATGTACGTGTACATACTTAATCTACGTATTTTGATGATGCTACATTAGATATCAACATGTAAATAAAGAAAGAGAATTAGGAAAAATAAAGAAAATA